CACAGGAATAACTCTGCACTGAATCACACTGTAAGTCAGGGAGCATGCAATACCAAAAGAGTAGGGTTGCCAGCCTCCAGGTGGGGCCTGGGGATCTCCCGCTTTTACAACTGATCTCCAGCTGACAGAGATCAGCTCCCCTGGAGAAAATGGTGGCTTTGCAGGGGGGACTCTGTGGCATTGTACTATGCTGAGGCCCCTCCCCTCCCCCAACCCCACCCTTTTTTGGCTCCACCCCCAAAGTCTCCAGGTATTTTCCAACCCAGACCTGGCAACCCTACAGAAAAGTAGTACTCAGCAGCAGAAGCCTGAAATCATACCACAGCTAGCCCTAAGGACCTTCTTGCTCCTGCCAAGTATACCTTCTGATAGTTTCAGTGTGGCATCTCCCGCTATAGGTTGTCACTTATACTATATGAAATTTCCAAAAATCTAGTATTAATCCAGTGTTAGCCTAGATACATTAAAACATTTAGAAAGAAAGGAAATGTGTGTGTTTTCACAGCAACCACAGTTCTTAGACCACACATGTACGTGTAATTTTTTCCATCCATGTATATGGTGATATCATTTCTACTTTGATATACAGTGTAAGTGGCATTACTTTGAGAGCTGTAACGTTGCATTTTCTGACTTTGGTGTGCATATATTCTCATGTATAATATTGCCTTAATGTGACAAATGCCTTTCAGAGAGAGACTTAAATGATCACACAAGAAAATAAATGCAAAGGAGCTGCTGAGTTGCCACTAAAACTATCAAGGAAAAAAAGGGCCCCATGGAAAACGTTCATTTTTGCAAACAGCTTGTCTAGCAGCTCTTTCAGTGCTTCTCCCATTGCATGAAAGCGCAAGGCTTAATTGGCAAGGCACTGAAATTGCAGTCCCTAAGAGTCTAAATGCTTATGGGGGGGTTGTTGTTGTAAAAGGAAAACCTTTGTTCGTATAAAAGTTAACACCCTGGGGGTTTACGTTATTCATTAATTATCTAGTTTTGGTTAGAGGGCCCTCCTGGCTTCTGAATGTGCGATTCATCAGTCTGCCTCCAAGTATTGCTAAGGCTTGTGCCAAAGAGTGATCTCACTACTTACACAGCGGCCAGTTACTCAACAAAGGATTTGACCACAGGGCAAGGGGCCATTTGCCAGTCCGTCTAATGATGGTCAGCCTTTGTTCAGCCCTGTGGTGTCTCCTGGAGGTGCCTGCATTTAGCCATCTCCACAGAAACCGCAGTAAGTCGAGTTACACCCTTTTAAGTCCATTGACTTCAATGGACTTAGAAAGGTTCCACTCTGCTTTGGATAGGGTGACTGACCTCCATGTGGGATCTGGAGTTCTCCTGGAATGACAATTGCGCTCCAGACTATAAAGGTCCGTTCCTAGGGTTGATGCTGTCCAGATAGGCCTGGAGGTCTTTTGGAATTACAACTGATTCCCAGACTACAGAGATCAGTTCCCCTGTACATGCTTTGGAGGGTGGACTCCATGGTATATCACATATTCCAAGTGAAATCCCTCCCCAACTCCCCTCTTTATAGGCACTGCACTCAAATCTCCAGGAATTTCCAAGGAAATTGTTGGCAACCCTGTCAGTTCCCCTGGAGAAAGATGCAGATATGGAGGGCAAACTCTATGGAATCACATTGAGCTCCTTTCTCCTCAAACTCCACCTTCTGCAGGGACCACCCCTAAATTTCCAGGAATTTCGTAAGCTGGAGTGGGTAAACATAGCTTTGGAAGGCACTGCTAGTATGCTAGGCACAGTGGCAACTCAGGACGTTTTTACTGCCTCAGGCAGCTCTGGCTGCCTCCCACTTACTATCGCTACCCACCTAACTACTGCTTAGGGTTGCCAGCTCTGGGTTGGGAAATACCTGGAGATTTTCGAGGTGGAGCCTGAGGAGGGAGGGTTTTGGGGAGGGGAGGGACTTCAGTAGGATACAATGCCATAAAGTCCACCTTCTGAAGCAGCCATTTTCTCAAGAGGAGCTGATCTTGGTCGTCTGGAGATCCATTGTAATAGCAGGAGATCTCCAAGTACCACTTGGAGGTTGGCAATCCTACTACTACTGCTGTCATCTCTTGAGGAGATACACCTTTAAAAATGGAGATGTTGCATATAGCCTATGGGCTTCCTGATATCTCATGAGATTTCTTTCTCTCATGAGCGTTGGGCTACTGTTATGGTTACCCTAGCAATGAGCAACCGGAAATGGTCGAGCTCTTGCAAGAAAAAGAAATCTCACAAGGGTTTGGGAATATGTAGACACAGCTTGCTGTGTGTTTTTAAAGAGGCCTGGGGGATCAAGATGGTAAGGAATATTATCTCCTCTGGCTCCTGGTGTAAGAGTGACAGGGAGCCAGCTGGCTGGTGGGTAACTTCATGGTCTCCTGAGAGTCTGCCCTGCTTCATTATGAGATCTGACTTATTTAAGAGATACTGATGAAATTTCTTTGGCTCGGAGTGTAAGATAAGCTTCCCAACTGCCAAATGCCTTTCTTGCTCAGATGGCAAATCTGAACCTGAGGAGAATTTTCTCCTCTCCACACTCAAGTTATCTCCCCTGTTCATGGGGAACAATGCAGTGACAGCTGAGAAGGGGTAAAATACTTGCAGTGTATTCCCACCATCTTTCTTTATTCCTCCGTTTTCTCCTTCCCCTACTCTGGATATTCTGCATTCTGGAAACTGCAGCTCCCGGAATGTCTGGTGTTAATTAATGCGGGACAAGAAAGTGGAAAAATAAAGACACATGGAGATAAACTGGGGGTGGGTGGGAAACAGTCCATTTCTAGCTTCAGCATGCATTTGGGAAGCATCTGCTGTGTCAGGGTGGCTGAAACCCTGGATTTTTGCCCCCAAGAGGGGCCTGATGGCCTCACTGTTAATGGGGGATGGCCATGGGTGAGGTAGGAGGTTGCTGCCCCCCAGTGTAGTGCTCTTAGGTCTCAGGCCATCTTAAGGCTGGCTCTGACTAGACGTCAGGTTGATACTTGAAAGTAGGGCTGCTAGGTTCTCCCTGGCCACTGGCAGGGGATGGGGGCATAGGGCTGCCAGACCCAGGTTGGGAAACTCCTGGAGATTTGGGGATGGAGCCTGGGGAGGGCAGGGACCTCAGTGGAGTATAATGCCATTGAGCCCACACTCCCGTTTTCTCCAGGGGAACTGATCTCTGTAGTCTGGACACGAGCTGTAATTCCAGGGGATCCCCAGGTCCCACCTGGAGGCTGGCATCCCTACTTTAGATTATATTAATTATTGTGCTTCATCTGCCTCCCTAACCTGAAATCCTTAAAGATGCACTAATCAGAGCCTCTTTGCCATCTGTTAACCATGTGGACTGAAATGCATTCTGATCCCATCATCCTCTGCGGGAATGCAGAGCAGACCACATCCCCGGACTGCAAAGGTTACCACATCAATAAAAATGGCAGCGTTATAAATCATTCAACGAATAGTCGGTACTAAGTAAAGATTTTTTTCTGGAGTTTTTTTTTTTTAAAGGAAGAAAAACATACTGATAAAGCATGTCTTGTCATCAGCAGTAAAGGATTTGATTTTGCCAGCATGGAGCATTTCACCTGATCCAGCAAGTACTTAATTGTTAAATTAAATTCAAAGAAAACTTGGAAAGTCTCAGAGTCAACAGGACTAGTCATTTTCTCTAAAGTATAAGTTTTAAAAAATATATTGGGCATGAATGTTCCCAATCCTGAATTTCTCTATTAGAGTTTGCACACAGAGGTGTCACATTTGATGATCCTCATAACAGCACTGGGAATTATGAATAAATTCATAGCAGATACATCTACCAAAAGAGGTTCAGCCATGATGCTGAACAGAACCTCTATGGTCATGACAGTGGTAGTACTGAATACTAGATGCTACGCACAAACAATAGGAACTATCAAGTACCATTGTGCCTTGACAGAGGCCTGAGTTAAAGTATGTTGTCACCCACCACCTCCTGGGCCACCACAGCCACTGGCCAGGTCCAAGCCAGGACCCTACGGCAACGCTGCCAGGGCTTGGCTTAGACCCATCCAGGAGCAGAGCATTCCGCTTATGTCTAAGAGCAAGCCAAGCTGTGGCAGAATACTGGCAATCTTCTCACTGGGCAAGAAGTCATTTGGGTGTCTTGGCAGAAGACACAGCAGCCCTTAGTCTCACTGGCCACTGGTGGAAAAAGATTCTTGAATTAGGTGGTCCCCTGACTTGATTGGGAAAAGCAGTTCTTATCAGATTGAGCTGAGAGATGGAGCCTCTGAGGCTAGCCTGATCTTATCAGATCTTGGAAACTCAACAGGGTTCTCTCTGGTTGGTATTTGGATGGGAGACCACCAAGGAACTCCAGGATCACTATGCAAAGGCAGCCAATGGCAACCACCTCTGTTCATATCTTGCCTTGAAAATCCTACGGGGTAGCCAAACGTTGTCTACGACTTGATGGCACTTTCCACCCCCATAGATTTTAGCCTGGATCTCCCACATTCATGTTCAACATGCCAGCCACTAATTGGTTAAAAAGAGTGTTTTTAATTTTTCTAAAAAGCTCGACCTTTCAAGTGAAAGATCCTAATTTAATTTTTATAGTGGGAATTACCTAGCATAGCAGAACGGCCATGAACAGATCTGCTTACCTTTCTTGAAAACCTCATAGCGAATGGAAAACCCTGCCCCATGGGTTTCATAATCGGAGACAAATCTGATGAAGAGGTGCGGTCCTGAAGATACCACGGGCAGGGGTGCAATCTTGCCACAATACTTCCCCCACACTCGCCCGTTGGCATTGTCTCCATCAATCACTTCAACATAATCGTACCTGGTAGATAAATGGAAGAAAGAAAACTTTAAACTTCCAGGAAAGAAAAGAAAGCTAATTAATTTAGGAGCCGTAGCCATGCAGCCTACATAATGAAGAAAAATGCTGGCCCGCTTGGAAGCTGCATTATGCTGAGAGATGTAAGCAAAATGAAATAATTAAAATGGACTACATCATGTCTGTAGACATCATCTGGCAATGTGGAACTATTAGGAAGAATGGCGCCCATTATGCTTACAGACAATGTCAGCTAAAGTAACCAATTAACAAGAAAAAGGAAATCTCATAAGCACAGTTCTGTATTATTAAATTGCATTCCTTTGTCTATAGCAGCATTGTTATCAATACATAATACACAGAGTTCTTTTCAAACAGTGACGTTCTAGTCTGAATTCTAAAATGTCTTTTTGGCTTTAATTTCTGCATGCAACTCTCCAAACATAGGTCCAAAGAACTGCACAACGAAGTCCTAAATATTTAATGCTCTTTCCCAGTTTCCCTCTTTCCACGGTTACTGTTAGATGGACACAAATGATGCTTAGCTAAGCATATGTATTCTTTTTGCATTACGTTACTTAGATCCAGACATGAAGCTATTTTTATCACCAAGTCACACAAGCAATGTCTGGGTGTACTGTGGCCAGTGGGGGGTACTTTCCCCAGCTCAAAGCATCTCAACTATACAGCAACAGCTTTGTTTGCTTGGACACTATATTCTTCCCCCATGACAGCTTTAGCCCAGAACAGGTAATCTAAACAATCCTCTTTCTAATGTTTGTATACAAGTTCTCTACTTTTGAGCCACGCTGAAAATATAGTTGAGGACAATAAACTCAAAATTGCTGAAGCCCTAATTATACACATTTTCACTGAGATAAAGCAACGGGCATAAAATGTAATTTTGATGCCTTCACTGTCTTCCTCTGTGAACGTGACCCACACCCACCCACCCACAAGAGTCTTTTTGTTCAATGGGAACTTGATGTTTTGCTACTGGATAGTCTTTGGAGACCTGACCGCCTGGAAGCCCAACCCTGTGGAGTGGGTGCAGTGGACAGAGGTCCCAGTCAACAAACTTTAGGCAGGAACACAGGTCTTGCTGTAGACCTCCAGGCTGTGTTTAAGTATTTGAACCTGGGACTCTATTATCTGGGAAAACAACAATAAACTACTGCCTAACCTATCTCCCCTTAGTGTGATGCTGTTGTTGGAGACTCTGGAGACATGGTTCTGGGGGCTTCACAGGGAATTATGTTGATTTGCTTCATATGCTAGGAAACTGCAGCTTATTTTTCAGTCTACTCTCACTGGCAACAGTGTAGCATAGGCTACAGATCAATAGTAGAACAGGTGGCTTTCATAGATAGGTCCCAATATCAATCATCAGCAACCTTAGCTTAAAAGGTCTCTGGTACCAGAACTGGAAGCAACTCTTGCCATAAGACTGAACAGTTCAGTCTTATGGCAAGAGCTGCTTCCAGTTCTGGTACCAAAGACCTTTTAAGCTACGGTTGCTGATGATTGATATTGGGACCCTATCTATGAAAGCCACCTGTTCTACTATTGATCTGTAGCCTATGGTTCCTCCCTTATTGCTGTTAAAAGTGCCTGAATGAGAATGGTAGATACAGAACTTCTGAGTCAATGGCTCCAGTCTAGCAACATGCAAGTGGAAACATGAATATCCTTAACGTAGTTCCAGATTTTGTGCAACAAATGTCTAGGCACTATATATAGTGAGGAAAGCACCAGCTGTTGCAGAAGATCTTATGGAAACACAAGTGTCGATACTATACATTTGACTTGGTGCTTCTTTGTCTTGCATTAGAGCCAGCATGATGTAGTGATTAAGAGTGATGGACTCTAATCTGGATAACTGGGTTTGATTCTGTACTTCTCCACATGAAGTCAGCTGGGTGACTTTGGGTCAGTCACAGCTCTTTCAGAGCTCTCTCAGCCAGGGGTCTTGTTGTAGAAAAAGAGCTGCTGGAGCTCATTAGCATAACTCATTAGCATAACTTATTTGCATATGCCACGCCCCCTGACATCACCGGAAGTGACAGAAGGCCACACCCCCTGACATCACCGGAAGTGTGTCAGAAGGCCCGGCTACTTACCCTCCTGCTTCATCCTCATTCCCAAACGGAATGAGGATCGAAGCAGAGGGCGGGGTAAAGAAGGGGGCGGGGCTTCACCACATGACCGCCCCGCCCCCTAGAGGTTCTCTTCCGGAGCTCCGTATCTGAGAGCTCCCCCCCAACTAGAGCCCTGCTCTCAGCCAAAGAAAAGTCTAGCTGACGACCTAGTGGTACGTAATGCTAAAAGAGCTAGAACTTTCAGCTGCCAGACAATCTTAGGAACTCCCGGCTATGCTACACACAATGCATACAATAATTATTATTATGCCTTGCATTTCCACTTGCACAAGAGTTCTAGCACAAGTGGAAATTCTGTGCTGGATCCAGCCCAATGGCTAGAACTCCCAAAACAGCACAATTTCTTCAGCCCATGCAACCATGCTTTGACCTTTTATTCCTCCGACTTCAGCTCTGTATCCTCCACTGCATAGTGAGCCACTTATGAAACTCAGGGGATTTCAAATGTAGCTTGTGATAAGGCATGGAAGTATACTGTTGAAATAAAAGGGTAAAAAATCAAACCCTTGGACACGGTGAAAATAGCTTTTTGGACCATGACTCTTGAAACAAGACAGATCATCTTCAAAACTGACATTATAGCTCTGGAAGGTTGAAAAACGGTGCCATTTGGATTTTCTAAAGATATTTTGCTACCTTGAATGAATCCAGGTCACCTAGACCTAATGAACTACATTTTTGAGTGTTGACGGAAGTAGCTGGAGAAATGTCAAGCACCACAGGCAGTCATTTGGGAGAGATGAGAGATTTTCGATAGACTGGAGAAGGGCAGCTACACTCTGAACCCAAATATTCAGTTGGAAATTATTCTCTTTGACTTCAGTGGAATTTATTTCCAAGCGAGGATCCTTGACATCATAGCAGCCTTGGGTTCTCAACAACAGTCCACACACAATAAAAGTCATGACTGGTGGTTTTTCATAGCATTACAGCAGTTGGAGGTGATACCATTTTGACATCACTCCAAATTAAGTCAGGGACTGTTCCTGGTTAAGGCTCTGCTCCCTTTTTCTTATCCCACCATTACAGATTATAAAATCTTCACACTTATTCTGGACAGATGTGTTATAATGGCTCCCTTCGTATTCTGCCTCCAGGCCATTGTCCCCTCTTTTTTGTGTGCAAAGAAACCCAGTCACAGACACTATAGATTCTGCACTGATCGTTTCTATTGCTAATTTCTGTTTAAGTGGGAAAGGATTGTTTTAGACTTCAAACAAAACACTCTAGTCTTGGATCTAGCGCTGCCAACCACACCCTTCACTCCAGCAGGGGCAAAAATGGCGGGGAGCACAATGTTGTAATGTCACTTTTGGTTGTGGCTGAAAGTGATGTCGTGACGCTCTAGGAATGACGCAATCTCTGTGATAAAAACCATAGAGATTTGGGAAGTCCCTAGGGTATCATAATATCAACAATACAGACATGACATCATGACTTCCCACCACCCGTTTTTGCTCCAGCTGGAGTAAAAAGCACTGGTGGCTGCTAGGACCTGGGAGCGGGAGATTGCCTGCCATGGCAGTCAGTTTGGCAAGGCTAGCTGGATCCAATCAACTTTTCCAGTGATGGAAAAGAAAGGGGGGAGTCCCCTTCCATCACTAAAAGGACTATGCTTGCGATCCTGTGACCTGCTTGCGGTCCACATGTTAACACGGAGGGCCATAGGGCATGATTACGCAAAAACGCTAGTTGGTCCAACCCTGTATCTTCTAACTTTAAAACCAGTAGGACCTTAGAGACCAACAAGATTTTCAGGGTATAAGATCAACATGGCTACCCTCTGGAACTATCTCCTAACTTTAAATATTTCAAGAACCACTGGTTCTCCCACACAACATTTATATGTATATGGGTCCACAGATGCAGTGATGGAGCACTAGACTGCAGTCTGGAGAACAGAAAGCATGCATATATAAGAGACATGGTATTAAGATCAAACTAGGGTTGCCAGGTCTTACCTGGCTGCCGGCGGGGGGGGGGGGTTCCCCCTCTTCTTTGGAATTGACATCAGCCAGAAGTGACATCATCGTGCCAGGCACATTACAGGGGGATGCTCTAGCATTTCAGAAAAAACTCTATGGTAACAAAAGATTTTTTTCTCAAATGCAAGAGCATCCCCCCCTGCAAACATGCCCAGTGCCAGTACCGGGCTCATTGGCATGGATGGGACTGTTCAGGGGCGGGGCTCCCCCCACCAGTCAGCTGGGCTGCAGTAGATTGGCCCCCCCGAAAGTGAGTAAACTCCCACCCTGGCGGGGGGGATGGCAACCCTAGATCAAACTGAAACCCTGAAGTATTTCTATGAATCCAAGAAGAATGCTCTACCACAAGAAGGCTATAGATTGAGGCAAGCTTTGTACATCTCTTCAAAAAAACAACAGTCCAGCTGAGTATCACACTTGAGACCCCCAGCACCTTCCAGAAGTCTGACACCACACAGCTCAGAAAGTCAAATTGCAATTATTTATTGCAGTAGGTCTAGCCTGCCTTTTACTGAGGCCTCAAGGCTGCTCTCAGCATTTTACAAGCCCCTTCCCTATCTGCAAAATATCCATTTCACTGATATACACCACCTCCCAGGGATCTGCCCTGTGCCCAGTAGCATTGTGCATTTTTATTGATGTGCGATAGTGGCTGGGTGGGAATACACCCATGCATGTATGGATGATAAAAACTAGAACAAATCTTAGAATCAGTTTGCTAATTAATATCAAGAAAAGCCTAAAAAAGCTGGGTGCTCTCACAGTGACTGTGTTATGAATGAAGGATTAGAATCGGTCTACAGTAACATAGCTGGTATGTCATTAGATGGCATTTGATTTGTATATATTGTTTGGGGGT